AGGTGGAACACCAAATTCAAATTCCGAGCTTTCGGCCCCAGAGGCTACCAGGAGGTCCCAAGAGGTCCCCAGGAGGCCCCAAGAGGCCCCCAGGAGGTGGAGGTCTGGGAGGGTCCCAAGAGGCAAACTTCGCTCCATTCCCTTGAGGAAACGTATATCTTTCGCATATGTATATATATACAAATATATATGCATATATGTTTATATTTGTATATATATATATATATGTATGTATATATGTATATGTATGTCTATATATATACAGACATACATACACATATATATATATATAGACATACATATGTGCATATATATATATATATCTCTCTCTTTCGCTTTCACAGCATCCAAGACGGCCCAAGAAGCCCGAACGATTGCCCCACAGGCTCCCAAGAGGGCTCCAAGACGATCCCAAGAGGGTCCCAAGACGGCCCGAGAGGCCCCCAAGACAGCCCAAGTGAGCCCCAGGACGAGCCTCAGAGGGGTCCCAGATATGAAAAAACAAGATTCCGAGCTTTCGGCCCCAGAGGCTACCAGGAGGCCCCAGCCAAGACTGCCCAAGAGGGTCCCAGGCCGGTCCCAGAGGCACCCAAGACGGCCCAATGGCCTCCCAGATGGCTCCAAGAGGAGCCCAAGATGGGGCAGTCCACCTGGAATTGCGAGCCCCACGCCCCAAGAGGATCCCCGAGACCCCCAAGAGGCCCCTAAGCAGCCAACAGGAGGCCTCCAAGACGCCTCATAACCCGTGCAATTTGACCCCCCAGAGGGCCCCGAGAGGCAAACATGGCCCCATACCCTGCGTAAAACGTACATGTTAACCGCATTCGTGTTTTTCGTCTTCGTACCGTCCTTCGCAGCCTCGGGGGACCCTACGATCGCCCCAACACGGCCCAAGAGACACCCCAGAGGGCGCCAAGACGGCCCAAGAGGGTCCCAACACAGTCCCAGAGGCAGCGGAGATGGCCCGAACGGCCTCCCAAATGGCCCCAAGAGGAGCCCGAGTTGGGGACATCGAATTGGAACTGCGAGCCCCCCGCCCCAAGAGGACCCCCTGAGGCCTCCAAGAGCCCAAGAGGTCCCGAAGACGCCCACGATGCCCTGAAGACGGCCGACGAGGACTCCAACGCGCTCCGGGACGGACTCAAGAGGCTCTACAAGAGGGCCCTGCGAGGTACAATTCACAGATTTCCTAATGGTTTTGAAGGATTTCGGCGTTCTCGCTTTTCCCGCTTCCCAGGGCTCAAGGCATCGGAGGTCCTTCATATCGCTCCAAGACGGCCCGCGAGGCCCCGAAGAGGGCTCCAAGACGGCTCAGAAGGCTCCCCTGACAACCCAAGTGTGCCCCAAGAGCGCCCCAAGAGGGCGCCCAGAGGGGTCCCGAGGCGGCCCGGGCCCGCCCCGAAGCAGGCCACGACAGGCAAAGGAAGTCCCGAGAGAGCCCAAGACGCTCCCAAGAGGCCCCGAAGACGCCCAAGATGCCCTGAAGTGAAGGATTGCGGCCTTCTCGCTTTTCCCGCTTCCCAGCGCTCCCTCAAGGCCTCGGAGGCCCTTCAGATCGTTCCAAGACGGCCCGCGAGGCCCCGAAGAGGGCTCCAAGACGGCTCAGAAGGCTCCCCTGACAACCCAAGTGTGCCCCAAGAGCGCCCCAAGAGGGCGCCCAGAGGGGTCCCGAGGCGGCCCGGGCCCGCCCCGAAGCAGGCCACGACAGGCAAAGGAAGTCCCGAGAGAGCCCAAGACGCTCCCAAGAGGCCCCGAAGACGCCCAAGCTGCCCTCAAGACGGCCGACGAGGATTCCAACACGCTCCAGGACGGACTCAAGAGGCTCCTCAAGAGGTCCCTGGGAGGTAAAATTCACAGATGGTCCAATGGTTTGCGAAGGATTGTGGCGTTCTCGCTTTCCCCGAATTCCAGCGCTCCCTCACGGCCTCGGAGGCCCTTCAAATCGTTCCAAGACAGCCCACGAGGCCCCGAAGAGGGCTCCAAGACAGCCCAGGAGGCTCCCGAGACAGCCAAGTGTGCCCCAGGAGCTCCCCAAGAGGGGGCCCAGATGGGGACCGGCAACCGATATTTCGAGGTCTTGCCCTAGAGGCCCCCAGTATGCCCCCAGAGGCCACCAAGAGGCTCCCACGAAGCCCCGTGTGGCGCCCGAGAGCCCCCCAGGAAGCCCCAAGAGACCCCCAAGGAGCCCCCAGGGAACCTCCAAGAGGCCCCCCAACACAGCCCAAGAAATCATGCCCCCAGAAAGCCGTCCGGGGACATGGTTCATCATGGGCCCGAGAGTTCCCGGAGGCCCCTAAGGGGCCCCCAGGGAACGCCCAAGAAGCGCCCCAAGACACCCCAAGAAATCATGTCCCTAGAAAGCCTTCTGGGGACATGGTTTATCATGGGCCCGAGAGTTCCCGGACCCCCCCAAGGGGCCCCCAGGGAACGCCCAAGAGGTTTCCCAACGCGCCCCAAGAAGTCATGTCCCTTGAAAGCCTTCGGGGGACATGGTCCATCATGGGCCCGAGAGTGTCCAGAGCTTCCGAAGTACCATGACGCTATCGGAGATCTGTCTGGGAAGTTAATTGGGGACATGACTGATCGCCTTCTCGCGGCCCCCCGCTGATCGTTTCGCACAAAGTTTCCCCAAGTGCCCTCTTGGACCGACGACGACGACGATGACGACGACGAAGACGACGAAACGACGAAGACGAGGACGAGGACGACAACGACGACGGCGCGCCCCAAGAAGCGACGACGACATTACGACGACGAAGACGACGACGCCGACGGCACGCCCGAACAGGCTTCCCAAGACGCCCCAAAACTCGTGTTCCCAGAAGGCCTTCTGGAAACCCGATTTATCGGGCCTCCGCCCCGCTACGTAACCATCTTCCCCGAAAGCCTTGTGGAATGCGGATTAACATGCGTGGAGTGTGGTCCACTTCTTCAGTGCAGCAGTGAACTCGTCAAGTCCTGGGGCCTGCTAGAACCTAAGCACGCGCCAAGCGCGCGCGATGGTTCCAGTCTTATATAGCGCCAGAACACCATTCCTGGGGCTTCAAAACCGCGAATCAATGTGAATGACTTGTCCTGGCAATCCGACCCCGTGCCAGAACATCGTTCCTGGGACGTCACAACCCTACGCATCCTCGAAACTGCCGCGGACGTCTGAAACGAAGGTGCGTGTCAATCGGGGCGGGAGCCACACGTTGAACAGGAGCCGCCCTCCACCCCTGAAAACGCGTGCAAAGGCTGCGCGCGGTGCTGCAGTGGAGGCCCGTGCCAAGAAGCACCCGGCTTGCCTCCCGGGTGCCCTGTGTCTCTTGGGTCTCGATGACCTTGCCGTGGAGCGCGCGGCGCTCCCGCGCCAGAAGTCAATGGACGTCCTGGGGTCTCAGGTTCGATTTCCTGTGGGAGGCTTCTTGTGGTCGAGCCCCCACCGTAGGCAAGGGCGCCCTCGATGGCGCGAAGTTATTCGCGCTTCGCGCCTCGCGGTTCGGCTCCGATTCCTCCTCATCTTCCTTTTCTCCCCTGGGAGGCGGCGCGAGAGCGCGAAGCTACTCGCACTTCGCGCAGCGCGAAGCGCGAAGCTGGGAGCCCTTGCTCCTGCAGCGTCTGCCAGACGCCCTCGCGCGGCGAGGCGAGAGAACCACGCCTCTAGAACGGCCCGCCGCCCTCCATCATGCAGCGGGGGCCCATGCCAGGAAGCACACACCCTGCTCGCCTCCAGGGGGCCCTGAGCTGCTCGGGTTTCGATGGCTCTGCGCTGGAAGGCACGACGCTCCCACGCCGGAAACCGAGGGACGCCCTGGGGTCTCAGGGCTGGGCTTCTCGTGGGAGGCTCCTTGTGGTCGGGCCTCCGCGGTACGCGAAACCGTTGCAGATGTCACGCTTCGAGGTCATGGGCGGCGAGTAGTTCTCGGGCTGGTCGCCGGGACCGTGTTAACAAATTTGGGGGCGCCGCAGGGAGGAGTTACGGTCGGGATCTTTTGGATCGCGTGCTGCCGCTCCGCCGGTTGTGGCCCACCACGGTTCGGTGCCAAACCCCATCTGCTTCGCGGCCCCCAGGCGTCAGCCTCCCCAGCTTTGCCGGATATCCAGCCCAGCGGAGCGCAGCGACACGCTCCGAATTACTCGCATGGCATAGCGTGTCGCAGGGTGCCGCTGCGGCGTTACGCTATCCAGAAGTTCCCGACCGCGTTTGTTTGAACATAGTGAAGGAGGAAAAGGAGGAGAGAGAGGAGGAGGACGAGAAGGAGGAGGAGGAGGAGGAGGAGGAGGAGAGAGGAGAGAGGAGAGAGGATGAGACAGGAGAGAGGAGAGAGGAGGGCGACAAACTGGGTGCGCTCGCGCCACATCTGATATTATATCCCTCTCTCCCATCCCCTCCCATTGCGCTGATTTTCATGTTCCCTCCGCCGACGCGTGTCATAGCCGACCTGGACTTCAAGATATATTCCATCGTGTTTTGCGCAATTGGAAAACGGGGGATACGTACGTCGGAGGAGGAGGAGGTGGCCCGTGCGCAGGAGGATGATCAGGAGGAAAAGGAGGCGGATGTGAAAGGAGGAGGACGACGACGAACAGCAGCAGCAGGAGTTGGAGTGAAAGGAGTGGGAGAAGCAGGAGGATTAGGGGCAGGAGGGGAAATGAGAGGGGCAACAACGATGAAAAAGGATTCGGTTCCAGAAAGCTGGCCCGCGCTGGGGCGAGAGCGCCATTCTGAACGACGGGAGCAAAGCGCCGATCCGAAAAACAGAGCCGCACGCTGCAGCGGGAGCACCGTGTTCACACGCCCAACACAATCGGACTGCAGCAAAACCGCCGAGGAAAGACACCCTGCCGCACCCTGTGTGTAGAGAGCAGCACGCGGAGAGAAGCGGCCACCTCCCGGCCGGAGCCAGGAGAGAGAGAGAGAGAGAGAGAGAGAGAGTAGAACAGCCTGCATGAGATGTGGAGCTGCAGAGGCGAGGAGGAGACTCTCGAACGCGCGGATTGGAGAGCCCCTGGCGCGGCCCAAAGCCCCGCGGCGCTGGCTTCCGCCGCTCCTGCCTCCAGGGCCGCCGCGGCCCAGGCACCCGTTCGTGCCCCGCGCGGCCGCCGCGAGGAGCCGGGCCTCCGGGCCCGAGCCGGCGGCCACCATGGCGGGCAGCGGCGTTGACCCGAGCGTCTCGGGAGGAGGAGGAGTTGGAGGAGGAGGAGGAGGAGGAGGAGGAGGAGACGGAGGGGGAGGAGGAGGAGGAGCGGAGGCGGCAAAGGCCACCCGCGGAGCGAAATGAGGAGGGAGAGGAGGATCCCGACTAGAGAGAAGAGGAGGAGGAGGAGGAGGAGGGGGAGGAGGAGGAGGAGGCAAGATGAAGAAGATAGGAGGTGGAAGAGAAACATGGGTAGGCGAACGATGGGGGGGGGCGAAACTGTAGGGGATACCTTTCCAGTAGAAAGTATGAGTCTAGGTCGTGATCAACCAAGAGTTAATATTACCATGCACATGCAAGTACATGAATGCGACGACAGAGATCAACGGATGGAATAATACCTGGACCCGATAACTTGCGTTTACAAAACGGCACTGGGCGTTTATTAAACAGCCCTGCCCTGTTCGATTCCGTCTTTAAGTGCGTTTACTAAACGGCTTCGCGTGTTGGGGTGATTGTTGTGAGGGTGGATTTTCTGATGTCTAAGATAGTTATCCTAACCAGGTAGCTCGATCGGGGGACTGTCGTATGGATTGGATGCCGAGGCAGCGACAAGATGAGCCATCTGCAGGAGGATTCGATGAGCCACTTCATCAAGACGCAGCTCATGGCCGTCCTGCAGCCCTTTCTTGACCATGTTGAGTCGAATGACAAGCGGATTTCCAAGCTCGAGGATCAGTTCGACACTGCCGACGACAGGATTACCAGCGTAAGTCAGGAGCTCGACGTCACGAACTCGACGGTGAAGTCTGCCATCGAGAATCTACGCAATACGGATAGGCTGGAGGGTGGTTGTACGGGGGGCATACAGTTGTCTCCCCGATCTTTTTCGTCCTCATTGCACCCGTCGTCCGCCCCCTCCTCCCCACTCGTCAGCTTCAATGCTACTCGGCGCGCTCGCTGTGCTCGCAGACCCCGCTGCGCAGTTGGCCCCCCTCTTCCAAGTCCGCGTCGCCGCCGCCCCACCGCTCTCCGCCTCGCCTCCTCCCTCTCGCTCGTCCTCCTCCCTCCATTTCTCAGGAGGGACAAAAACACACAGACACAATGACTCGTCGATTCCCCAGAAAATACAGGAAAATATGAGCAGTGGGGGAGAACACAGAAGCCCAGAAACCATGGGAAAATATGGGGACTCCTGTTATGTGTGTGTGTGTGTGTGTGTGTGTGTGTGTGTGTGTGTGTGTGTGTGTGTGTGTGTGTGTGTGTGTGTGTGTGTGTGTGTGTGTGTGTGTGTGTGTGTGTGTGTGTGTGTGTGTGTGTGTGTGTGTGTGTGTGTGTGTGTGTGTGTGTGTGTGTGTGTGTGTGTGTGTGTGTGTGTGTGTGTGTGTGTGTGTGTGTGTGTGTGTGTGTGTGTGTGTGTGTGTGTGTGTGTGTGTGTGTGTGCGTGCGTGCGTGCGTGCGTGCGTGCGTGCGTGCGTGCGTGCGTGTGTGCGTGCGTGCGTGCGTGCGTGTGTGTGTGTGTGTGTGTGTGTGTCGTGTGTCCCCCCTTCCACCTCGGCTCTCCACGTGCCCTCTTTTCGGGCACCCGCCGCACGCTGCCTGCCCCCGCCACGGGAAGCTCCGCCCCTCGGCCCCCCTGTGGGGCGCCACTGCGCACCGCGCTCTCCGCCCGCTGCGCAGCGCCGCCGCTGCGCCGCGCCTGCTGCCGCCGCGGGGCGCTCCGCCGTCGGCCCCCGCGGTGGGCGCGGAAACGGGCCGCCTCCCTGCTCGTGGGCGGTCGCTCCGCTTGGTTGCAAGGGGCGCCCTCGAGTGCGCGAAGCTATTCGCGCTTCGCGGTTCGGCTCCGACTCCTCCTCATCCTCCTCTTCTCCCCCGGGAGGCGGCGCGAGAGCGCGAAGCTACTCGCACTTCGCGCTTCGCGCAGCGCGAAGCGCGAAGTTGGGAGCCCTTGTGGAGCGTCTCCGCATGCGGGCCTGCGCCCACCTCGGTGCGCCCCGCTCGCGGATCGTGCCTCCCCGTCAGCAGAGGAACAGGTACCTATACCTCACCCTTCCCTCGTTCCCCCTTGTTTGGGCCTCCTCGGAGGCCCTCGTCGCCACCGTCGGATTCGCCCCGAAATTCGGGTCAGAACGCACCCCGGGAGCGGTCCGGGGAGCAGCGGCATCGGCAACTTTGATTGAAGTCCCCACCCCGGCACCGCAGACACACGAACGGTGTGCTTGCGGGCGGCGGTGTAGGACGACCGGTTGCAGGAAAGCGCGGTGCGTGGCCAAGCCGAGTGCAGGAGAGCGCGTGGTGCGCGCTCTCCCACACCTCGCAGTGTCGTTGTCGTTCGATGCATTCGCATGGTCGAAACGGAGGAGACGGTGTTTCGTGATTTCCTACATCTTGTTCTGCGCGAGCTCGGCGTCACCAAAATCGGATTCCCAACATCGCCGTTAACCAACATCGCCGTCAGGGCGGCCTTGGAGGGAGCTCCTCGCATGCAGGCTCCGCCCACTTCGGCCCCACGGGGGCCGCAGGGGGAGCTCCCGAGGGGACGCCGAGCGTGTGAGCGGCGTGCCGAACTGAGCGGGGTGCCCCCCCTCACTGGGGGCCGTCGGTGGAGCTCCCTATGAGGGCACGATGCGTGCGAGGGGCGTGGCGACAGGGGCGGGGCGGTGATCGTTTTTTTATCCATTCTTTTGCCGATCGGCCCGGGCCCTCGCCCGCCCCCCCCCCCATGGAGTAGATTTTGGCTGATTTTGGCGCCTGTTTCGAGCAGGTGGAGTCCCTCCCCCACAGGACGCCGTGTCGCAAACAGTCGCACTAAGCAGAGGTTCGGCGGAGCCAGACCCCCCCCCCTCCC